AATTACCAAAAAAAGCCTGAAGTCTTTTTTTTTTTAAAGGGGCTTTTTGGGGGGGGTTTTTTGGGGGGGGGTTTTTAGGGGGGGTTTTTTTGGTTTTGGGGTTTTGGGGGGGGGGGGGGGTTTTTTTCGGATTTTTTCCGCCCCCCGGGTTTTCCCCCCCCCCCCCCCCCCCCCCCCTCGCCCAAATTTTGCTTAACCTTTGTCAGTTTAATTTCTCCCGGCTATTACAGTCTTCCTTAAGAGAAATTGAAGACAATGCTTATGCAATTCTTTTGAGGGGCGGAGGACAAACAAGGTGTATTATGAGGGATGTCCAAATGATGAATAACGATATACCTTGGTGTTCCTGTTAAGTGGGTGTGACCCTTGGTTATCCTGTTATGTTTACAGTGACCAGCATCAAATCTCGTTATATCACTGCTTTAATCCCGACTTACAGGTTATGAAAGTAAAGGAAATGATCAAGTAAAAAGGTCCTGAATGTTTTCAAAACGAATTTACTATCTTCATCAGTTCCACGGAAAATATATGGAGTACAGTGTGGAGAACATACAAGTTGATATTAGGGTTTGGCCTTTTCACTGCGAAAGGTGGCTATGTCAAAGTGCGACAAAATGTTCAAATTTCATTTTGCAAAATGCTGAAAAACAAATAGTACCATGTGAAAGTACTGTTCAGTAGCTCTCACTTGAATGGTCACACCATAGGGTTTCATGAACAGACTCAAAAGTTAGAACCCGCCTTGCGCAGCATAATAAACAGTACTACAGGAAAGAACTGCTCAGTAGCTTTCATTTGAATGGTTACACTTTAGGATTTCATCCACATACTCAAAAGTTAGAACCACCTTGTACAGCATAATAAACAGTACCACAGGAAAGTACTGCTCAGTAGCTTTCATTTGAATGGTTACACCATAGGGTTTCATTTACAGACTCAAGTTGGAATACAGCGTTTTCACACGACGTTACGGTGGTCTTCTTGGTGTCCCAAAACAATAAAATGGCGGCCATATTGGTGTTCCAAACCATGCCATTTCCAAGTTCCCCCGGACCTCTGTATCAATACGAGGTTAAGTGTTCTGTCTTTGATATGGAAATGATTACTCATTCTTATGCAAACAAAAATCATTCTCACAAGAAAGGTATTGTACTTGGCCTCGCTTTGAAAGTGAGTTTCTGGAACTCGTAAATGGCCTGTATGCATAGCTGCAGGTCACGTGAGTGAAAACGCTCCACACCTTATGAACTCCATCACTTAGGGTCTGTTTACATGGAAGTGGGGGACCCCGGGTAGGTGAGGTGACCTGCTTAGGTGCAGCAACCTGCCAGTCCATAAAATCTCTCATATGGTCACCCCACCTATCATGTAAACATGACCAAATTTGAATGAGAGATTATATGGACAGGCGGGTTACGCCACCTAAGCGGGTTACCTGGGGTCACCCACTTCCATGTACACAAACCCTAACTCGAGCAGTGAATGAGATAGGTTATTAATGGGTTGACTGTACCATATAGTCTCCTGCCCAGCCGTGTTTGTGTCTTCATGCAATGCCGCTTCCCCCAACACGAGCAGAGGAGTATTGCATGCCAATACACTAAGAAGGGCAGCAAGGAAGACTTAAGACTTAAATCCACCAGGAAATTGGGTAATTCTAATTTTCAGTGGCGAAAAACCTTGCACCAGAATAATTCAAAGAAAATTGCATTCGTTTTTACATTTTTCAAGGGCTAAAAATGTAATTAGTCATCTGTAATAACACCAAAGATAATTTCTTATGAGTGCCCGAAAATAAAATAAAATGACAAATTTCACAAAATTAAATCTTACACAATCATAAAATTTTCAGAATTTTACTTGTGTTTTCACATTTCTTGTGAAATTTGACATTCACTTTCTTGGGCTGCTGTGAGAAATTTTCTTTGGTTTTACTACAGATGACTAATTACATCTTTAGCCCTTGAAAAATGTAAAAAAGAATGCAATATGCTTCAAATTATTCTGGTAGAAGGTTTTTGTGCACTGAAAATTAAAATTACTCAATTCCGTGGTGGATTCCGTCTTAAATGCTACAAATTTATAGAACTGCTTATTTACACGCAATAGACTTTTTCCTTCTTCAAATTATTAAATATTTTCAAAATAACACGTCAACCTAACAGACAACAAGAGTTGTATAAATCAAGATAAGATCAAATTTCACCTCTGACACAATACAGTATTGCACTGTCAAAAAAACTACAGAATTGCAAATAAAAATTACATTTACTATCAGTGACACAAGCTTGCTCAAAGATCTATGCTGTTTATTTATTTATTTTTGGGTCAATTTGGATGTCTCAGGAGGCAAAACAATCTCAGCTATTCTACAGTTTCCAAGGAATATTATTGTACTCCTCAATGTTATACCGTAAACTGCCGCTTACAAGGACCCCTATTTACAAGCCCCCCTCCCCCTCCCCCAACAAGTGACAGGCTCATCTACCTTTTTTTTTAGAAAAACATCCTAACGTAAGCCCCCTTCTAGCCTAGGTGCAAGCTCTCTGGGGCTACTGGCGGCGGGGGAGGTTTTTTTTTACTGGTAAAGTTTGTTTCGAAGAGCTTTTTCTATTCATGTTATAAGCCCCCCTGTTTATAAGCCCACCTAAAACTCCTTAACCCTTTAAGCCCCAATATCCACATACCAATTCTCCAAACTGATCTCCATACATTTTCTTCATGAATGAGTGGAGAGAATTTGTTCAAAGATTAAGGCATTTTCCCTTTGGTGATCATTTTATTAATTCTCATAACCTAATCTCTTGACAATGTATGGATATTGTTAGGAGAAAATTGTTGTTGGTCACCATTGGCACTCAAAGGGTTAATAAGCTGTACAGGCCCAGGGTTTATGAGCAGCAGTTTACGGTATGTAAACTAATTTTTTTCTTTTTAACCCTTTGATCAGCATCAAATTTCTCCTTGTGACATCAATGCTTTGTAAAACAGAGTGGTCATGAGAATTATGGACATGATCACACAAGATGAATTTAATTGAGATTTTATCAACTTCTCCCCACTACTTCAGTAGGAAATGAGTAGGGGCAACAGATGAGAATTCGAATTTTGATCTTAGGGTTTAAAGAGTTAAACCACCAAGTAAAAAAGTGGTAGCTATCAACCAGTCAAATCACAAATGCTTTTGTTTGTTCAAAGCTTCTAATCATGTTGTTCCTTCATACATCAAACTCCTAGAACTCTGCTACAATAGGAAACTTTAAACCAGAGAAGCGTGTAAAATGAAGGAGCAGTACTTTGCTTCAGTACAATTCACATAATTAGGTGCTGTCCTTTACCTAAAAACTACCAACCAGTCAGTGCTCTGTTTGGCATGCGATGTGAGTTCAAAGTCAAGGTGATATCCTAAACTAGAGCAATTTTTTCTTACAAATCTCTATATCAGTTTTTCCTGTTGAAAATTAAATAAGTCTAGCTTAACCAGGTGTCAAAAATTCATGTGATGGGGTGAAGTCCCAAAGTTTCACAGTCTTGTCATAGGAGCCTGACACAATGTTGTAGTCATTGAACTGTAGACATGTGANAAACACGAGACAACTTTGCATAATCGGACCATCCAAAAAAGTAAAACTTTAAGTTAAACTTGACATTTCTGTTTGAAATTCCCCACCCCCTCTTGGCAATGTTCAAATTTTCCCCTCCCCTGGGAAAAGTGATGGGTAGATGCCTTGGGTTTTGCCAGGGGAGGGGGGGGGGGTGCTGGAGCTTCGAATTGATCGGTGCATAAGTTAGGTCAGTTAACCTGCAGCACAGATGTAATCTAACTTTGGTTAGTTTAGTCTGTGAAGCAGAACCGATATCTTTGTTCTGGGCCACCAATGAAAATCAACAAATTACCAGAAGTGCGTATCTTCTAAGCCCTGGTGGGTTGATCCCCCAAAAGCCACCCAAGAAAAAGAAAGAATCCATCAGCAAACTAAGTAATTTTTATTTTCAGTGGACAAAAATCTTGTACCAGAAAAATTTAAAGCATATTGCATTCTTTTTTACATTTTCAAGGCCTATAGATGTGTAAGAACACCAAAGAAAATTTCTTATGGGAGCCCGAGAAAATAAATGTCAAACTTTACAAGATGACACCTTGCTCATGAAATTTTCAGAATTTCACCTGTGTTTTCACAATTCTTTTGAAATTTGACATTTATTTTCTCGGGCTTCCATAGGAAATTTTCTTTGGTGTTATTACAGATAACTAATTACATCTATAGCCCTTGAAAAATGCAAAAAACAATGCAATTCTTTAAATTATTCTGGTACAATGGTATTATCCGCTGAAAATTAAAATTACTCAATTTCCTGGTGGATTCTGTCTTAAAATCTCCAATAACCACACTTCTCTAATCTCTGGTGTCTGCTGGTAGACACCCTTCCACAGTTTTTTTCAACCTTTGACATGGATATCTTTGGGAAAATCCATTGACCCAGTGCCTTTAAATGTAAGAAAAATTGCCAAGTTTGAAAATGATTTGTTGAAAACAGTCAAAGATACAGCTCCTCAAGGTTGCAAGAATTTACAGATGTTTGAACGGTGGGAGCAAGTTTGAGCCAACCACAATACAAACGTCTGTAAATTTACACAACTTTGTAGAACTATAACTTCACTCACTTAAGACGTACGAATCACTTTCAAACTTGGCAAGTGTACTAACTTTAAGGTGCTCTTCCCAACAGTGTAACTAGATTTTCCCTAACGTGTCCATGTCAAAAAGTTGAAAAAACCATGAAGGGGTCTATTATGACCAAGGGGGCAGCTTTAGACTTGACTTGGTAAATACCTTTAGAGTTTTGTCATCGCCAGCACTCACTATTCTCCAACTGTCAGTCTGAAGACACCTGAAAAAGGACACGAATTCCTCTTTGTAAACAAAGTTAATGTAGAAGGCAGTTAAACATTGCTACTAAGCCAAAGGGTATGGTCCTCCAAGAAAGCCTACGATTTCCTGCTTCGGAAAGGTTGTATTAATAAATATTATTTATGGTTGCCGATCTAGAATAGGGCATTATAATATTAGTAATGTTTCCCAGGAAGGAGGCCCTGTTAGCGAAAAATTCTGACAAGCAACATGGTCTTAAAACAGTGACATAAGAACGTAAGGTAATTAATTATTATTTGTACCTTATGACACCAGTGTGTCCTTCAGATCTAATCCAATCCAATGTACCAATACACTGAAAAATAATGTAAAAAAAAAAATAAATAAATAAAAATAAAAATAAAAACTGAGAAAAAAAAGAAGTACATCATAAGACCCTTAGTATCACTCATACCATAAAAGCAATAAACAACAATGTCAAAATTTACCTTTTTTAAAAATCATGGTTTGAATTATGTTATCTGATTCAATATTCTCACCCTATTAACTAACAAGCGTCTTTAGCGAGACTCATTTCTTGTGAATGTGACTCATGATTGGCCAAATGTTTGGGTGGAGCCACTTGAGTTTGATAGAAATTGTTCTTCTTTTTTTTCAGAAGTATTGTTGCGGCATCAACACAATTGGACATGTAACAGGGAAGTTCAAATCCCTGACCACTAAACATAATTCATTATGTAAAAACAATTGAAATACCAGGTGAGCTTTTGCACGAAAACATGTTATCTTCACATGTGAAAAGATCACTGTTGCTATGGCTACATAATACACTGCACCTTTTACACCAAAAAAAATTAAAGTGAAATGGTTTTGTATTTCATTGGTGTTTATATAATAAATAGAACATTACATGGCTGCTTGGAGATACGAACTTTCTCTTCTCGAGTTCAAAAATATTCCACTTGTTTGCTGCACTCACTGATAGAAAGTTTTTCAACTCTTTGGGAGAAATTTCATATCTCTGCACAGCCATTTAATATCCTCTATATTCAGTAACAGTTCTGCTAGTCAGAGGGCTTTGCACTAACTTTTCCATTCCGTAGATCCCAAAATTTCAGATTATGATCCAGAGACCCACTGATGACTTTTCTGCTGTCAAATGCTAAATTCAAACAGGTGACTGCATCATGATGGCCTGTTAATGTCATTAAACAGGATCCNTGTTCTTCTTTTTTTTCAGAAGTATTGTTGCGGCATCAACACAATTGGACATGTAACAGGGAAGTTCAAATCCCTGACCACTAAACATAATTCATTATGTAAAAACAATTGAAATACCAGGTGAGCTTTTGCACGAAAACATGTTATCTTCACATGTGAAAAGATCACTGTTGCTATGGCTACATAATACACTGCACCTTTTACACCAAAAAAAATTAAAGTGAAATGGTTTTGTATTTCATTGGTGTTTATATAATAAATAGAACATTACATGGCTGCTTGGAGATACGAACTTTCTCTTCTCGAGTTCAAAAATATTCCACTTGTTTGCTGCACTCACTGATAGAAAGTTTTTCAACTCTTTGGGAGAAATTTCATATCTCTGCACAGCCATTTAATATCCTCTATATTCAGTAACAGTTCTGCTAGTCAGAGGGCTTTGCACTAACTTTTCCATTCCGTAGATCCCAAAATTTCAGATTATGATCCAGAGACCCACTGATGACTTTTCTGCTGTCAAATGCTAAATTCAAACAGGTGACTGCATCATGATGGCCTGTTAATGTCATTAAACAGGATCCCTCAGCAAGACTCCACACCTGTGACACAAGTATAAACAACAAAATTGTGACTTACATGTGACCATTCAAATGAAAGATACCGAGCAGTACTTTTCTGTGGTACTGTCTATTATGCTGAACAAGGTGGTTCTAACTTTTGAGTCTGTGGATGAAATCCTAAAGTGCGACCATTCAAATGAAAGCTACTGAGCAGTACTTTCCTGTGGTACTGTTTATTATGCTGTGCAAGGTGGTTCTAACTTTTGAGTCTGCAGATGAAATCCTAAAGTTTAACATTCAAATGAAAGCTACTAAGCAGTACTTTCCTGTGGTTCTGTTTATTATGCTGTGCAAGGTGGTTCTAACTTTTGAGTCTGCGGATGAAATCCTAAAGTTTAACATTCAAATGAAAGCCATAGGCATAAGGGCCGGGGGGGCGAGGGGGGCTGCAGTGGCTGACTAATTCTCAGTTTGAATTACGAGAAGAATTTTAATTCTTTAAAAAATCTATCGAGCGGTTTAAAATTATTCGCTGATTTGTTAAAGTAGACCGAAATGTTTACAAAACCGCTAACCAGAGTGTCTAGATACATACTAATCAAATCCTTCTTTCGATTCTAGCAATCAAGCAGAGCTATCTCCACGATCTTTCACACATGTTTTTAAAAAGATTAAAACTACTATGAGGTGAAATTGCAGGACAAAAGCGCCTCGTTTTCTACAGACAACGGCCAAAAATCAAGATTTTCCTTTTCTTACCGTATTTCTAATAATAAAAACTTCATTGCAAAATATCTCGATAACTCGATATCTCGTTTTGCTTAAACTTCACGAACATCGAGGCGACCGCATTGGAGAAAAAAGCTCCTGTGAATGATTTTGTAAGGTTCCCATACCGAGAATCATTGCTGAAGTAAAATAGGTAATGGAGTCATTTCGTTGCTATGACAACTCCGATGTCATTGCAGCCCTGATAATGCCAAATTTTCATCTTAATACCACTGTGGTCGCAATTTTTCCAAATGTTTGTTTATGGCGACACAGTTTATGCTCAGACTTGGTATTGACCCTGAAAAACTGTGTCGAGCCACCTTCATATGCCAGGACGGCCTATGTTGTTGCAATATGGCCCTCATTTCTTTTCGACTCTTTCGTAAAAATTTGGGCAACTTAGGAGATTTTTTGGGCAAATGGTTTACCGCCCCCCCTGGCAAAAAATTTCCCGTACGCCTATGATGAAAGCTACTTAGCAGTACTTTCCTGTGGTTCTGTTTATTATGCTTTACAAAGTGCTTCTAACTTTTGAGTCTGTAAACGAAATCCTTATAAGTGTCAGCATTCAAAGTTACCGAGCGGAACTTTTCTGTGGTTATGTTATCATGCTATACAAGTTCGCTCTAACTTTTGAAATAAAAAAGCTACAGAGCAGTACTTTTATGTGGTGATATTTATTTGTTACCTTGATGGTCTTGTCATATGACCCAGACACAATTTTTTGATCATCAAACTGGACGCAGAGTACAGCTGCATTATGACCCCTGAAAGTAAAGAGTCTCTATCAATCTATCACTCAAAACTCAAGGAAATTTAACATTATTTGAACATCTGGTATGAACTCAAGAGATCCAATCAACAGTATCATTGGTTCTCTGATCTATGACTTCACAGATCAGACTTGACCATATGTGACATCTCACCCGAAAACCTACATTAATGCCTTTCTGTTTTCACATGGCTTTCCGTTTACAAGGTGTTCGTCAGCCTTTTGAATGGCTTGGTCACCTGTTCGCTAGAAATTTTAACCTGTTCGAACGGCTTTGTGAACCATTTGTAGGAAACATCAACCCATTCGAACGATATTTATTATTAAGTGATTAAAGTCTGAACTGTGTATGAATTACCTGAGAGTAAGCCGACAGTCACCAGTCTTGATATCCCAAACTTTCAGTGTCTTGTCATAGGAGCCACTAACCACCTTCTCATCATCAACCTAAGTAAAAAGAAAATCAGATGGTTACAGACAGGCTCAAAGTCCTTTTTCTACATGTACCAACATTTATGTTCAGTAAGCTACAATCATTGTCAAAATGTGTGGGACACCCTCAGAGTTTAATTACTTCAAACAACAATTCCTTAACACCCCCTTGCTACCACTCCCATTACAATGTTTCTTCTATAGAGGTCCCCTTAGATGAGGGAGAGGGTATGTGTAGCAGCATCAGCTGCAGTGGCAGAGAGAACCATGAAACTAAGAAAACTTAATGATTCACAGATTCTACAGGACTGGTCATCAAGAAAAAACCACAATTTAATTTGACTTTGCATAACTTCATACAAATTAATAACTGGTTACTAGATTTAGTATCAGCTGATCTATGGAGCTTTTAGCAGCTAGGAATATTTCTAGGCTGCTTGAATTTTTTTCTTTGAAAAAGAAATATATACTTGAAAACTGTCTCTTTACCTGAAGACAGCGAACTGTATGCATATGACCAATCATGGTGACCTTGCATGAAGCACCACTCCAATATGACTCAAATGACAAATCCCAAACCTTGACAAGAAAAGAAAAGAAAAATACAGTCAGGGATATAATTCTGCAATAGCTGATACCATTTACCTCAATGTGGCAAAGAAGCACTTCAAAAGAGAGACATAATATAGATATCTGGGATGTGATACAGGTGAAGGAGGAGGGACAGGGGAGGGGTATCTTCAGTAACACACTTTGTACCTAAGGTATTAAAAGGATACCACAAAATTAATGATCTGATAGCCACCAGGGGTTTCAATTTAATTTTAAAATCCCAAGTGGGGACGTTTAAAAATTGTAGATAAAAGGTGTTCAAAAGAGAGATGATTAATTCTCAAAACCGTGACAAATCTCAAAAATGTAACTATCAGCAAATATATCACCACAGTTTACAAAAGGCAGACTATCCAGTTCATACATAGATACATACAGGCCGCTTAGAGCTTCATACAGTTTTTTCAAAACCCAACATCCATATCAGAATCCTTACTTTGGACCTGAGTTTGAACGAGGTACAATGTGCAAATGTGAAGGGCACAGGTACTCAAGGAATGCCCTTCTTTAATTTGCCCCCGAAACCATAGAACAAAACTACAGAAGTGCAGCATGGAGCTTACCTTGATGGAGCGATCCACTGAGCCACTGACAAGTCTGTTTCCATTGAGATTTAAACACCTCACAGTTCCAGAATGTCCAGCAAGTGTCAGAACAACATCAGAATCATCGCTCTTAATGTCCCACACTCTGATTGTCTTGTCGTATGAGCCACTGGCTATCCTTGTGTCATCAAACTGAACACAGGAGATTCCTATAAAGAAAATTCATTTGATAATTGAAGGAGCTGTCTCGCAAAATTAAACAAAATTCAAACAGTTGCAACTGCCACCAAATTGAGTGAAACAAAAAGTCAAAACCTTAAAATAAGGTAGAAATAACAGAGTAAAATATTTTAATACAAAAGGAGCCAAGAATGGAAAAAATTGAAGAAGACTGAAGTGGATTGCAATAGTGGGTTTTGAAAACTTGATAACCAACAGTTATTCAAAGTTTGTTTTGGATTTTAATAACATGTAATATGGTTTGATATAATGCTTGCGAGACATATTAATTTTGTTTGACAAGAAGATATCTCTATAAATATTATTATTATTATATGGTTTTGTCATTCACGAGTAATTTCTGAAGTTCCATAGCAAACACGGATCCACCGTTGCCACTATCAACAAAATAAACTGGACAGCTGTGATACAACCCCTTGGAATCTCAAGCAATCAGAAGAAGTTCATAATTTATAATGACAATACTGAAGTGATGCAAATTTAGAATTAAAGATTGTAAATCAGTGATTTTACTACCTCTACATCCTGCATCCCTGACACAAAAAAATCCCCAAAGATGCAAAATATTTCATGGCATGCAGCCCATAAGACGCAAAGATTGATTGACTGATCTGAACACGTGTATTTGCAGAAATATCCTGTTTGTGTACTTTCTGTGGCAGTTATTATGGCTGTTGTTTAACGACGCATATTTCTTTTAACCTTTGTTGTGCTTTAAAATAGAACGAGTATATTTTAATTTCAGTATGCCATAATACAAAGTTTTGGGCTCTGTCTTCAGATTAACTGTCTGGTCACATAAAGGCCCAAGCATTTTCAATTTTGGACTTTTTTTTTCTTTAACTGGGACTCATTAGTTCTGGACTGGGACTCCTGATTTTTCACAAGATGAGTTCCAGGACTCACCAAAACTAACAAACTCACTGATAAATAAAAGAGCAAATTAAACTGACTAATGAGTACCTTGAGTGTGACCCTCAAATGTGCGGACACTACATTTTCCTTTTAACCAATTCTGATGTAAAAGGTACCTTGAAGCAAACATCTTCTTCCACTAAAACAAAACAGTATTGGGAGTAAGTTGGGCTACAGGGCTTATTACATGGCGAATTTAATGCCAGGCTGAAATTCTGTCAGCTCATTGGACTGAAATGTTGTTGATTTTATATGGCAAACTTTCAACTATGGCTCAATGTTTAGAATAATGAGTAAGGTGGGAAAATTTGAAGGAAAGCTTTTGCGTCCCAGTTCATAGGGTACACTGACAGTGGATGGCTTCCTCCTCAATATACGAAAGCAAAGATCTTTAAATTCAGACTAGGGACATACGTGACCCCCCTATTAAATGTTCTGTAATTTGAATGCAATTACATTAAGGTTTTTTTCAACCCATTTGACCAGTCTAAAGTTATTTCCATCCCTATTTGTGATACCTGGACTGGAGATTTAAGCCCCGGAAAAAATCTCTTCATGTAATCTCAATGATGATTAGTTAGTTATCTGCTAGCAGATAACTGACTAATCTGTAGGTTACACGTGCAATGCATGATTTCCAAAAGCAATGTCAAATCAGTTCAATGTGATGGTGTATTTGTTGCTATTTATTTCAAAATAATGTATAATAAAAAAATTATTAGATTCGGTTTCTGTAATATCCGGAATAATCAAGGTCTTTGAAAGTTTCATCAGCCTCTGCCTTCGGCTCTGCTGATAACACTTACCTCAACCTTGATTATTGCGGATATCACAAAAACCTCATCCAATAATTGTTTAGTATTTGTTTATTAAATAAACAAATACTAAACAATTATTGGATGATATAAGTACATGGGCTTATAACTAGGAGGGAGGGGCTTAGGATGGGCGGGGCTTACAAGCGGCAGGTTATGGTAAGGCAAGAGTGGACATGAAGAGCCTTATTTATCCTGCCTGTTTTAGTACAACAAATGGAGTAATCTTGACTTCATCCGACTATCGACCAAAGAACTTGGCTGCAAATATCCAGTTGCTTTAACATCATACTCAGTCAACCATGCAATGCTTATTATGATGGTTTTTGACAATACCTGCACTGTGCCATCTTCTTTGGTGTAATTTTTCCTTTCTTTCTCTTCACCAATTCTAGATAACTGCCACTCAGGCTGACTGATGAGTGAAGGTAAAAAGATGAATGGCAAAGTTATCTTCTTTACTCCCATTGGCATTATTATGAAGACTTAAGATGTACACGTACACGTATCTTTTATATTATAGTACAAAGGGGATGTGTACTGTTCTCCTCTCATCCATGACATTACAATCAGCAACAAAATTGTTCAGAAAATGTCATTAAAAAAATGGAATATTTTGGAGAAAAACATTGCTTAGAAAGGGCAGTCTCTTTTCCTTGATTTGGGCCATAAAAAGGGTATCAGTTTTTGTTTGTGTCACCCTCATAAGACCCCAGGCGGCACCCCCACCATCCAACCTGGGCATGGCACTAATTGTTTCTCCATGTTTTACAAAATGACATTACGAATTGCCATTACATTGTAATTTCTTTATTATATAAAAAAACAGAATGTATAAATTACATACCCACATAAGTTCTGCCACAACGATGGAGTACTAGCTAAACTGTTCCAGGCACGGTTTACTTGACTACAATGACATAAACTAACTGAAAGAGAAACAAAAATGTATTTGAGTCAAGGTTTTGTTTCACTGTGATTGGAAAAGATTGGTCATTTGCAAAGTTGAGATATTGTGTAGTTCTAGAGAATCTCCAGCCCCCTCCCCCTCAGACATTATTGGAAATTCTTGAGAAAGGAGGGGTTCTCAACGACAATAAATTTAAAAGAAATCTATGAAGCTTAAAGGGAATTTTCTGAGGAGTGGAGGTAGGGTCTAAGATAAAATCCCCTCAGTTGGGGAGATAAGGATATTTTGTGGACCTACACATTCTTCAATAGGTTGATTCTGAATTGCCTCAAGCCTTATTAGGCTGATTTAGCAACAGAACAAGAACGTCAGTTGACGACAGCGGGCGCAAATCATACAACTGGCTTGACCAATGGCAGAGCGACAAATTGGGCCTGGAAGTCAAGTTTAGTCCTTTCTGTAGGCTTTCCCGTCATCAGTTGACGTTCCCGTCTTGTTGCTAAATCAGCCTTTTTTCAAAACGAGGTACAATGCAAAGTATTTTGATGTAACAAATAGCTTTTCTATTCGCGTGTAAATAAAGTTCATTTTCACAAGAAAGTTTCACACTTGGGCACATTTAGAAAGTACAACATGTAATGGCTTCTGAAAGTTCAAAATAGCCTGTTAATTAGTTACTGTAATTCTTATTACCTAAATCAAGGAAGGAGAGAACATGTATAGCGACATGATGTGGCAACCAGGCAAGGATGTCTTGACAGTTTGGAGGACAATTTTTGTGCAAGATTGGCTCCATGGTGATGGAAAGCATGTGCATCTGTGGTAACTCACATTCTTCCTGCAAATTAGAAATTTCAATGGTTAAGGCAACGGTCTTTAACTCTGTTTCACTACTTAGTTTCCAGAAGCAAGTTTGCTTGTTATCATCTTCTTATCAATCTTTGAGACTTGCCATAAAAATTGAAACTGTGTCTAAAAATATGACCGCCATTTACATGACACTTAAGAACAGACTGCAGTCTTTGGATGAGTTATTCTGATGGGTTAGTCTTGTTCTTCTAAGCCTACAAATACAACTGTCTCTCCTTGTTCCACATAGGCTGAATTTCAGCTGTCTCCTTGAGTTGCCACCTCCTTTAGAGAGATGCAGGAGTTTGCAACTTCAGGAGCCCCTGAGGATGTTTTGCAAGGGAGATATCTGCGCCTCAACGACAGAAATTCTAACATGATGATGTAAATCATTGTTTGCATATATAATTTTTCTGGTAGTCATGGAGATACAAATTTAAATTTGTTTGAGTTAATGGTTCGACTGGTCTAGTATGGTAAAGTTTTGTAATCTCCTGTGAACAAGCTGTAGCCAAACCAAGATGCTTCTTCTACAGAAGAATATCTGCCATGAATAATGACTCTTTCGAAGTAGAATCATTGCTTTTACATTTGACCTTTGTGACCTTTTTTCTTCTGTCTGTCATTAACAAACAATAGTTAAAACAATATAACAGCCACTATGTTTACATATCAGAGCTCCTGACCAGATTCTGGACAGATTTTATGTCAAAGATGTTGAATTTCTGTTGTATAGGTACAGTTGCCTCTCTGGCTGTATTCACAGGCAACATTCTTCTATTGTATAATATTATTTACAAACTGCAAGTGCAATAGTATTTTTGCCCCTAGCACTAAACAATCTGAAAAACATGCCACTTAAACTTAAATCAAAACATTCAACAAATTGAATAAAAAAAGTCTAATCTTACAGTGTGACCAGGAAAACCTCGAACACTTGAAATATCACAGGGATGTTTATTGTGACCAATCACAGCAAAGATCAGGACATGCGAACTAGCCACAAAACCACAAACTAGCGGTTCAGTTTTCTCACGCCTGATTGGCTTTTTTCTTGCAACACTGACAATAACATTCCAGAAATATTTCCGGTGTTCACGGTTTTCTCGGTTTGACTGTAATAATTTTCTCAACTCCGCTAAATGCACAGTTTTTATATTTACAGCGCGTGCTGCAAGAAAAGTGGTTATCATAAATTAGTACTCATTATAACTTTTCTTAGGAGTGAAAAGAATGTTTTCCTAGACTTTTTTTAACCCTCAGTCTTATGACAAAACAACAGAGACAAGTCAGCCGTGAGAACGTGTTGTGAGTTTACATACATGTAGGAATATTGTCTGTGATCTTTCTAACGTCAAAAGAACTGACTGTATACCGTGTGGCACCAAGTTTTTGTGGGTTCTAATCTTTATGATTTTTGCAATCTGCAAAAATGAGTTTCCTTAAAAAAAATTATTGCAAACATTTTCCCTTAAATTTGCTACAAAGACTACTTGGAAGGAGAAGATAGTGGAATTGATAAAGATAAGGCATCAGCTGATAATGAGATCACTTCTGATCAATCTTAGGACAATCAGTCACTGCATATGTTGTTGTAATCGAATGACAACTAAAGGTACCTAATCTGTATTACTAGTTTTACATAGGGTACGCACATTGTAGTATTGTTGGAAAATAAGTATTGAATTCTCACCTACTCAATAAAAATGAAAATAAAAAGAATGATTTGTCGGGAACTTGCTGAAAATTGCAAAAAAGCCTAGCAAGAAAAAACAATCAGACTGTCCTAATTGCAAAAATTAGTTCTTGCAAAACACACAAAAAAAGCCAATCTGCAAAACTAAACTCCTGCGAAAATTTTGTGCTACGCAGTATCCAGATTAACTAGAGAAACAACATTAAAGTTTTGTGACATGTTAACTTAACCTGAGCATGATCCATGACAAAACCATAGCAGCTAAAAATTGTAACAGAGCACATCTCAAAAAAAAAATTACAAAACTGTATATAATTTTTTCCTTTTTTTGAAGTAAACACAACTTATACCTCATTAGCTCCATCAACACACAATTTAGTTTATATTATTTTTATTTTGCACCAATTGGAATTAGTCTTTTTTTGGAAACCAATCAATTGCTTGTTCTCCAAACTTGGTTTATTAGATTTACATAATTTTACTAATTAATAACACAATTTGGGGTCTTCACGTTTATTTACAAACATGAAAAAAAATATTCATAAAAACAAAATTAAGGAGAAAATTTAAATAAGCATTATGTTTCCATGTTCAATCATAGAAATTTTTTTGTTGTTTGGCCCAACATTATTATTATTATTATTAAACTAATCACGTCATTTGTGACTGATGACTCACATTTGCCAGGAAAATTGCACATCCAAAAACAAGGAATTAAATACACCATGAAGACAGAGGAAAACAAAGTCTCTTTCAGGGTTTTGTACATACGCGTAGATGTTACATGTCAAAATTAATAATCAGAGCTAGGAGACAAAGGAAATTGAGAATCGACCTAGGTTAAAAAAATTTAACCTGAATTTAATGTTGTCTTGTTACATAGATACCTGATTTTGCAGAAATTAAAAGTAAAACTTACCAGAAGTTGTTTGATCAGAATATTCTTCTGTGCATCATTAAATTCCCTGAACCAGTGCAAAATAACCTACAAAGCCAAAAAAGGTGGTTACCGTGCACTCTTAAACCTAAAAGCCCCAAAATTGACCGACATCAATTTTCTCCTAATATTGTCAATACTTAATCAAAAGACGAGTTCAGAGTATGTGAATTAATAAAATGATCACTTACAGTAAAATGCTTTGATCCTCAAACAAATTCTCTTGACCAATTATTAGTTACATGAAGATGGGTCTAGAGAATTTGTTTTAGGATATTGGGGCTTTACCCCTTTAAACCCTGAGATCAAAATTGAGATTCTCACTTACTGTCCCTATACTTTTTCAATAGAAGTAGTGGGGAGAATTTGTTGAAATATCAATTAGACTCGTCTTCCCTGATCATGTATCCAATTCTCATGACCACTCTGTTTTCTAAAGCATTGATACTATAAGGAGAAATTTCACACTGATCACTCTTAGGGCTTAAAGGGTTAAGCCTTAACTCAAGCATCTTACCAAACTAAAGCTTAGCCTAATAGCATCCTCTTCCTAAAGGAAGAAAAAACTTCCGTAGGGGGGAAAAACTCTCTCATACTGTAAAGAATCAATATCCAGTGAGGAAGAAATTCTAAGGATGGGCCACACCTTCCTTGGAGAGCACCTCACAGAGAGTGAGTTGAGAGAGGTCATTGAACAGAGACCTTAGAGTTAGTCGTACATGATTTGGAGAGTCATCTGAAACTGAAATGTTTGGTTTTCTTATTGGTAACACTTAAGGCCAAAAGATCACATCTTAGTCATCTGGCCTCAGTTGTTCAAATGCTGGATATTACTATCCAATAGAAAAATCACTATCCAGCAGATAAGTGTTAGAAAAACCAACATTGTGTTATCCATTGGATAGGGATTTATCAAGTGGTTAGCTTAATCCGCTTTTTGAACAGCTGGAGCCAGGAAGACATTGAAAAAAACATGTTTCTTAAGAATGCAACACAATATTCCCTTGCTCTGTTTCCCTAATGATCTTAACCAGTTTGCCAATTGTGACCTCTTGCCAATGGTTTTCAACAAAAAATCTATACAAGGAAACCTCTCCTATACCATTAACTGGAGGCCTTCATCTGCACTATTCATTAACAAAATACCTCTGTATTCTTTTTGAACTGTTGTCCATTAATAACTGACTTTCTTGGCCGTGGTGTTTTAATTCTTCCCTGTAAAATTTGAGACCCACCACAAGAAGAGGGAGAATCAGTTGTCTCATCAACATTTTCATAAACGTCAGGTGAACATGAGCTACAAATAAATGGTTTTTGAGCATCACTTTGAATAACAATAAAGCCAGGCTTGACGTTGTTCTCAGCTGACGCTATATCAAGAGTCTTCAGAGGTAAAGAACCCTCTGTTAAGGTGGCCGAAGAATCGTTGTTACCAGGGTGTTTAACAGCTTTCAACTCTTGTGATTCAGGGCAACGTTCAGAATAATTCCCTGGCTCATCAGATCCATTTATGTTTTCATCACAAAGTTTGTATTTAAGCGCAGATTTTGACTGTTTATCTGGAACATCAATATCCTTTATAAGATTCCTATCATCAGAAAAGCTTAAACTTCTCCCATCGTCTACTGGGATTTCGGGCATACAAGACAACACCATTATTTTCTCCTTGGCCAAATTATCCTTAGAATAATCTGAACTAGTAGCAATACAAATACTTCCACAATCCCCCAAAGCCTCAAAAGAATCACTGTTGTCGTTGTTATTTCTATCCGCACTGTTTTCACCCAAGCGAGGGAAGCTACCATCACTTAAAAAATCGCTTTTCTTTTTAGGTTCTGCACTTTTCTCTTTCAAATCTGGTGTGCAAGATTTAAGAGCTGCCATTTCCAGGAGTAGGTGATCTTCAGAAAACAGTCTAGGTCCAGTAGAAAAACAATGTCTTGGGCAATCTAAGTCATTTTTCTTATTCCGCGGCTTTGTTCTTGGCCAGCTGTTGTACGCAGGGCCTGTAAAACTGACAGCGCGCCTTACTCGATGAAAACTTGGAGACTTACGTATTTTGCCAACACAGCCTCCGTGCAATAACAAATCGTTTCCACGTAGGGCTAAGGCGCTTTTCAAGTTCTCGTTTTCTAATTGTGGAAGATTATTCCCTTGCGGCATTTCGCTGCTGATGTTGTTACTATGCAAACTAGCAGGCCTTTCGTGTCGAGATATCCTTCGGTCCGATTCAAAGTCATGAAAAGTCCCTGTCGCTGTGTCACACTCATCTGCGTTAACTCCCTCCACGACGGCAGCTGAGCCTAACTGATCGCCAAACTGTCGAACTTTTCGACGTTTCAAATAATTGAAACTTCGGACTTTCCGCAATTTTTTACTCGTCTTGTTGTGGTATCCGTTGTTTTCCACGCAAAGACAATACACGTCCCCTTCAATATTGTTTTTACGCAAATCTGAAGAGGTAGCGAGTGTTTCCGAGCCAGCTTTGTTGTCTTTGTCGCCTTTTGCCTTTCCTGTAAACCAAATGACTTTCTCCCAAACTTTCGAGCGCGATTTGGACGTTCTTTTCTTGCCGACATTCGCTTCGCCCGAAATAGATGGAGGTTGTTCCTGGCTTCCTCGAACAGGGTTATTTTGAATTGATGCCATTTGTGGTGTGAACTGTAATACAACACTTAATTAGCGGCATCAAAGTTAATTTACTCTAAATCATGAAAGGTTTCATTTGTTTTCAAAACATCAACCAAAGAACGAAGAAGCGGCCATGTTTTTCCATTCCACGTCTGCAAGATATGCTGGGAAACTAGCCAATATTAGGCTACAAATTTCGCAGTTTTGCCATCACGATAATTATTTGCTTTCTTCATAAATTTTGATCCAGATGTGGTTGTTTTGGAAGACTATGCGGAATCAAAAAATAAAATGCCTTCTTTGCAGAGATCGATGCAAGCATGAAGTTCAGAGTCCAGTGCACTGGAAAAATGATTTCCCTAAGGGTCCCTGAGTATGTCTTTATACCCCTACCCTGTCAGTCCTAAAAATAGCTGGTTCAAAGTGAGGCTATATAACAGAGCCGCTGTGTACGTCACACCCGTATTGCTAGCTCAAGATTTATAGGGAGCGTCCCGTCTTCAAGTCTTGTGTTTATTGCTTTCTCCTGAAAAATCGACGGCAATTTCAGCGTTTTGACAGGTAACGCCCTATTTGAAAACATTTATACGTTCTTCTGTGTGAAGCTTTTTAAATTTGAACTAACTGGGCAATAGTTTCCTGAAGTTTTGGTTTCACTAATGGCGGTGTCTCTCTCTGTGTTGGTTGTAGATTTCAACTCAACTTCTTTTCACGATGCGCGAATACAAACTTGTTGTTCTCGGTTCTGGTGGCGTTGGCAAGAGTGCTTTGGTAATTATAACTTTACGCTCACTCTAAAACTGTTAAGATTCAGTGAAACGAGAAATGATGCTAAATATACTGATTTCCCAACGATGTCGCGAGAGCGAGAAGGCGACAATATTTTCAACTACATAAAATGTTCTTTTTGATTTCTCCTTGTCCCCGAACTAATCAATTTTTCGTATCTTTTCTGGTTAGACTGTCCAATTTGTCCAGGGAATTTTCGTCGAGAAGTACGACCCGACCATCGAAGATTCATATCGGAAGGTATTTCTTTTTGAGAATGCTGTAATTTGCTTTCGCCGGCACGACGTCTATCCGGTTAACTTGCGTTATAACACTCGACATTCCTGCAAATATTCATAATGCTCTATCTCTTTTCCCTTCCAGCAAGTTGAGGTTGATGGGCAGCAATGTATGCTAGAGATATTGGACACAGCAGGAACGGTAAAGATCCCCCTTATTTTGCGAAGAATCGAGGAGGAAAAGTCTTCGCTTGGTTAACTTTATAACACACACAAAAATTTTCCTATGTTTATTCATATTTGTTGTCAAATGAACAGTTCACACTTCAAACTTGAGAGTTTGAGTATTTTATTTTATCATTTTCACCAAGTTAGAGCGATCAGATAACTCTGTATGAAAGCAATTATTTTGTTTTTTTTCCTGATAATCATGCAAGGCATATATTGCTTTTTCATTGGTAGGGAAATGGAAAGATTTTCATACTGAATTGTTACATCTCGGCTTGGAAAAATCTTGGTGTTTGACTACTGAATTGAACAATATATGTCATTTTAGACTACTCAACCCTTTTTTCTAAGTGATAATAAAAAAATTATCTTGTAGTTTAGGAAGCATCTCCATGTAATTAGTTTTCTTACGGCAAAGGGTATCTATCTGTGAAACCAATTATTGGATTTGAAAATACTTTTGTTTATTGCATTTATTATTCATGATGTTTGACCTAATTAGCTGATAATGTAATGTTTGATTTCTTTTTATACCCACTTTAAAAACTAACGTCATAAGTGGAAAAACACATTAAAAATAATTTGGAATTATCAGGACCTATCCCCTGCTTATATTATGTGGAAAAAAATTCCTCTCCTAAAAAACATGTTTGTGGCAAGAAAACCATGTTTGTTCCTCAGAAACTGTAGAAAATTGAGGTGATTTTGAAATCTGAATTCTGCAGGCTGTGTATCATTTAAAGGATCAAATTACTGTGACACCAGGAAGCAAATTTACTTGCATTTTCAGATTTTACTTTAGTTTCATAATTGCCAGCTACCCACCCCTGCAAAGTTCTGTTTTTTCTGTCTGTGTTTGTGCTTGTGTGGTAGCAATGGACAACCAGACACCACTGACTTATTTTTTTGCCAGAATTCAGATGTAGATTTTCTTGATTAGCTCATTTTGCTAATAATTCAAGAGAAGATCATCCCAGTTAAATACACCACTTATTCAGTTGCGTAAAGAAAGCTTGAAAAAAATTCTGACTCGCCGGGATTTGAACCCTGACCTTTGCGATACCAGTGCAGCGCTCTAACGAATTGAGTGAGCAGACCAACTGGAGCTGGTTTGTAATATACCTAGGAATGAAGTAGGTGAAATGATGAATATGTGAATTTCCTGTATTTGAACTGCGGGATGAAGAAATAATTTCAGAGAAGATCATGGCAATTAAATATGCAACTTATGCAGTCGTGAAAAGAAACCCTGAAAAAATCAATTGCTAATGCAGGTATGTTACTCTTTATACAGGAACAATTTACAGCAATGAGAGATTTATACATGAAGAATGGTCAAGGTTTTGTACTTGTGTACTCCATCACAGCGCAATCGACGTTCAATGACCTCCAGGACTTAAGAGAACAGATTTTACGAGTCAAGGACACAAGTGATGTAAGTGATCAACAAGTCAACAACTTCCCTCCACTACTTCTACTGGACATTTATAGGGGCACAGGGCTCGAACTTAAAAAAATCCTCAGTTTACCTTTTGGCTACCAACTGGAGAAGTATAGTCGTCAGATGCAAATTTTCAGTCGCCAGTTTGTATAATGTAAACGACACAGCTCACAGTATGGCGTGATCTGTCAGATTTGATTATTTGAAAATGTTGCAAACGGAAGTCAATATAAATTTGGTGGTAAACTGGCTTTGTTTATGTGATTTGGCACATTTTTTATGACAAAAGTATAACAAGATAAGATGAAATCTTTGTTTTAACTTTACTCTTTTAATTTCAATCTAAATCATAGAGAAATCTGGTCGCCAAAGTGGTGACTAAAACAGAATTCTTAGTCGCCTAGGAGAAAATGTTATTTGCATTGGTGACTAATTGCAAAATATTTCTTGCAAAAGTGAGTTTTCTTTGCTTGAGAATAAGAAATAATTTTTGTATCAATGACTTTGCACTTAGTCTTGCTTTGAAATCATGGGTTGAGGCAACTTGAAAATGGTCTTTTTGATATTCTCATTGAAGGGTCTGATTTGACCATGGGGGGTGGTGGCTCCTCCTCCTCCTATTCTTGGTGGGGTTGTGCCGCCCGGTTCTCCAAATCCTGACCCTATTTCAGACCAAAGAATGTCATTTTCCAAACCCATTTTCTGACCTGGCATCTAAAATCCATACTCATTTGTAGACCTGGGCTCTAAGAAATTATGTCATCATTACTTAGATTAGAACTTAAACAAAAAGATTTCTTAAATGCGTTTTGAATTTGCGTATATCTCTTTCTTTCTCATTCATTTGGAATTGAAACATACACTCCTGTTGTTCCCTTGAAAACCATACCCAATTCCAGAACAAAATAGGCACAATTTATACCCGTTTTCAGATGGAAGAGACGAAAACCCTACCCTTTGGGGCGGCACATATCCATATGACTTATGTATAAGAAAGTACCCCAGGGATTTGACTTTATTATGATATTTCTATTTAGGTGCCAATGGTCCTTGTTGGAAACAAATGTGATTTGGAAGATGAAAGAGTTGTTGGAAAAGACCAAGGACAGAATTTAGCGAAAACTTTTAATAACTGGTAAGCTAGTTGTTATGTGGCAGTGCCTTGCATGGGTTGAGTGTCCCATTCTTGCCTTTCTATTTTGGGCATCCATTTTCCTGTGTTAAATATTTTATTATGTATATAAGTTTGCTATTCATATTGTGTGTTTAACGTATTTCCCAATTAAGTACATTGGTGGTCAAAACTTAGATGGATATAGATGGTTTAGTTCAATTCCATCCTTGGTTTAAATGTTATTTTCATTTGTTTTGGGGTATGGTAATATATGATAATGGGTTTGGAACAAGGAAATAAAATTTAAACCCTTTGATAAAATTGAATCACAACATAGACCCTACTAGTGTAGTCTCCCTTTAAGGGTAAGCGAGTCTATTTCCCTCTTTGTTGGAGACCCATATCACCTATTGTTATTGTACTTGCCTTGTGACAAACAGGCATCGCTACCACTTGCTTTCAGTGGCAAAGCAGGTCCATTGGTAATATTTTAGTTTATTATATTTTTCAGTGCCTTTCTGGAAACATCAGCGAAATCAAAGATCAACGTCAATGAAATCTTTTACGATCTGGTCAGACAAATAAACAGAAAGACACCAGAAGCGAAGAAGAAGAAAAGTAAAAAAGGCTGTGTTCTTCTGTAAAGCTTGCACCTGAACATTATGTGACATGACGCGCGCCAAAGTGATGTTACTCATTGGATGCTAGAATCGTTCATTTGTGACATCAGAAATGTAAATTATTTGTGAGCTGCTGGCGGAGAATAAGTGTGAAAGATCACAGGGAAATGTACAGGTGTAGATGAGGCAATACTGTCAGTAAACTTAGTTAAATCCTTAACCCCTTCTCTCCCAAAAGTTTCATGTGCTAAAAAGATAATGAAAGATTTTCCCATAGTTATCTTTGCAAGCTATTGAACAAAAATGCTCAGTATTATTTTAAAGAATGTTTTTAACGAATTTTATTAGTAACCTGTCAGTGCTTTTTGCAGAAATTGAAAAGTTAGAATTTACATCGTGCACAGCATATTAAACTGTACCACAGAAAAGTGCTTCTCAGTAGCTTTAATTCATTCAATGGGTGCGGTCACAATTTTGATTTCATCCATGGACTTGATGGTTAGAACCACCTTGTACAGCATAATAAACAGCACCATAGGAAAGTATTGGGCCCAGTTGTTCGAAGGTCAATAAGAGCTAACCCGGGGTTAAATTTTAATCCCAGTTTCTTTTTCTTTTGTTCAAAAGCATTTTCTCTATTCTTATTAGAGCATCCAATCAACCAATAGTAGACAAAAAGAATTAAACTGAATTTGCTTTTTAAGCTTTTATATCTGAATTTAAATTTCGTACTAACCCTGGGTTATCTTAACCTAGCTTTGAACAACTCGGCCCTGATCAGCAGCTTTCATTTGAATGGTCACACTTAAGGATTCTATCCAAAGACACAAAAGTTAGAACCATGGCATAAAAAACTCTACCCCAGGAAAGTACTGCTTATTTGGTCACATCTTTTGAATTTTTTTTTGCTATCTCAAAAGTTAGGACTTGTCTCATAAAATTAAGGCTAAACTTTGGTAGAGAAGGGGATGAACTCCTTGGAATTTAAAATACTTCAAAATTTCCAAAATTGTCCACTTCAAAAGCAAATAGCACGTATTGAAGTGGGTTTGCCCAAAACCCAGAATCCAGAATTTGGAAAAAGCGCATTCCGAGTGACTCTGAAGTCTAGCAATTAGGGTTAGGAAACTGAGTAAATCATGTTCCATTTAGTGTCATTATACTGGGCAAACTGACCTTAACTTCATTCACTCAGTTTCCTAACCCTAATCACTAAACTTCTATGTAATGTTTGATTTCTTTTTATACCCACTTTAAAAACTAACGTCATAAGTGGAAAAACACATTAAAAATAATTTGGAATTATCAGGACCTATCCCCTGCTTATATTATGTGGAAAAAAATTCCTCTCCTGAAAAACATGTTTGTGGCAAGAAAACCATGTTTGTTCCTCAGAAACTGTAGAAAATTGAGGTGATTTTGAAATCTGAATTCTGCAAACTGTGTAAGAACAGAAAACAACTACTTTATTGCACCATTTAAGGGGTCAAATTACTGTGATACCAGGAAACAAATTTAGTTAGCATTTTCAGATTTTACTTTAGTTTCCTCATTGCCAGCTACCCACCCCTGCAAAGTTCCATTTTTTTGTGTGCGTTTGTGCTTGTGTGGTGGCAATGGACAACCAGACGCCACTGACTTATTTTTTCGCCAGAATTCAGGTGTAGAGTTTCTTGATTAGCTCATTTTTGTAATAATTCAAGAGAAGATCATCCCAGTTAAATACACCACTTATTCAGTTGCGTAAAGAAAGCCTGAAAAAAATTCTGACTCGCCGGGATTCGAACCCTGACCTTTGCGATACCAGTGCAGCGCTCTAACCAATTGAGCGAGCAGACCAACTGGAGCTGGTTTGTAATATACCTAGGAATGATGTAGGTGAAATGATGAATATGTGAATTTCCTGTATTTGAACTGCGGGATGAAGAAATAATTTCAGAGAAGATCATGGCAATTAAATATGCAACTTATGCAGTCGTGAAAAGAAACCCTGAAAAAATCAGTTGCTAATGCAGGTCTGTTACCCTTTATACAGGAACAATTTACAGCGATGAGAGATTTGTACATGAAGAATGGTCAAGGTTTTGTACTTGTGTACTCCATCACAGCACAGTCGACGTTCAATGACCTCCAGGACTTAAGAGAACAGATTTTACGAGTCAAGGACACAAGTGATGTAAGTGATCAACAAGTCAACAACTTCTCTCCACTACTTCTACTGGACATTTTATAGGGGCACAGGGCTCGAACTTAAAAAAATCCTCAGTTTACCTTTTGCTACCAACTGGAGAAATATAGTCGTCAGATGCAAATTTTCAGTGGCCAGTTTGTATAATGTAAACGACACAGCTCACAGTATGGCGTGATCTGTCAGATTTGATTGTTTGAAAATGTCGCAAACAGAAGTCAGTATAAATTTGGTGGTAAACTGGCTTTGTTTTTGTGATTTGGCGCATTTCTTATGACAAAAGTATAACAAGATAAGATGAAATCTTTCTTTTAACTTTACTCTTTAAATTTCAATCTAAATCATAGAGAAATGTGGTCACCAAAGTGGTGACTAAAACAGAATTCTTAGTCGCCTAGGAGAAAATGTTAGTCGCAGTGGCGACTAATTGTTTTCTTTGCTTGAGAATAAGAAATAATTTTTGTATCAATGACTTTGCACTTAGTCTTGCTTTGAAATCATGGGTTCAGGCAACTTGAAAATGGCCTTTTCGATATTCTCATTGAAGGGTCTGATTTGACCACGGGGGGTGGTGGCTACTCCTGGAAATTCTTGGTGGGGTTTTGCGCTCGGTTCTCCAAATCCTGACCCTATTTCAGACCAAAGAATGTCATTTTCCACACCCACTTTCTGACGTGGCGTCTAAAATCCATACCCATTTTTAGACCTGGGCTGTAAGAAATTATGTCATCATTACTTAGATTAGAACTTAGACAAAAAGATTTCTTAAATGCGTTTTGAATTTGCGTATATCTCTTTCTTTCTCATTCATTTGGAATTGAAACATACACGCCTGTTGTTCCCTTGAAAACCATACCCAATTCCAGACCAAAATAGGCACAATTTATACCCGTTTTCAGACCGAAGAGATAAAAACCATACCCTTTGGGGCGGCACATATCCATATGACTTATGTATAAGAAAGTACCCCCCAGGGATTTGACTTTATTTTGATATCTCTATTTAGGTGCCAATGGTCCTTGTTGGAAACAAATGTGATTTGGAAGATGAAAGAGTTGTTGGAAAAGACCAAGGACAGAATTTAGCAAAAACTTTTAATAACTGGTAAGCTAGTTGTTATGTGGCAGTGCCTTGCATGGGTTGAGTGTCCCATTCTCGCCTTTCTTTTTTGGGCATCCATTTTTCCTTTGTTAAATATTTTATTATGTATATAAGTTTGCTATTCATATTGTGTGTTTAATGTATTTCCCAATTAAGTACGTTGGTGGTCAAAACTAAGATGGATATAGATGGTTTAGTTCAATTCCATCCTTGGTTTAAATGTTATTTTCATTTGTTTTGGGGTATGGTAATATATGATAATGAGTTTGGAACAAGGAAATAAAATTTAAACCCTTTGATAAAATTGAATCACAACATAGACCCTACTAGTGTAGTCTCCCTTTAAGGGTAAGCAAGTCTATTTCCCTCTTTGTTGGAGACTCATATTGCCTATTGTTATTGTACTTGCCTTGTGGCAAACAGGACGTCGCCACACCACTTGCTTTCAATGGCAAAGCAGGTCCATTGGTAATATTTTAGTTTATTATATTTTTCAGTGCCTTTCTGGAAACATCAGCGAAATCAAAGATCAACGTCAATGAAATCTTTTACGATCTGGTCAGACAAATAAACAGAAAGACACCAGAAGCGAAGAAGAAGAAAAGTAAAAAAGGCTGTGTTCTTCTGTAAAGCTTGCACCTGAACATTATGTGACATGACGCGCGCCAAAGTGATGTTACTCATTGGATGCTAGAATCGTTCATTTGTGACATCAGAAATGTAAATTATTTGTGAGCTGCTGGCGGAGAATAAGTGTGAAAGATCACAGGGAAATGTACAGGTGTAGATGAGGCAATACTGTCAGTAAACTTAGTTAAATCCTTAACCCCTTCTCTCCCAAAAGTTTCATGTGCTAAAAAGATAATGAAAGATTTTCCCATAGTTATCTTTGCAAGCTATTGAACAAAAATGCTCAGTATTATTTTAAAGAATGTTTTTAACGAATTTTATTAGTAACCTGTCAGTGCTTTTTGCAGAAATTGAAAAGTTAGAATTTACATCGTGCACAGCATATTAAACTGTACCACAGAAAAGTGCTTCTCAGTAGCTTTAATTCATTCAATGGGTGCGGTCACAATTTTGATTTCATCCATGGACTTGATGGTTAGAACCACCTTGTACAGCATAATAAACAGCACCATAGGAAAGTATTGGGCCCAGTTGTTCGAAGGTCAATAAGAGCTAACCCGGGGTTAAATTTTAATCCCAGTTTCTTTTTCTTTTGTTCAAAAGCATTTTCTCTATTCTTATTAGAGCATCCAATCAACCAATAGTAGACAAAAAGAATTAAACTGAATTTGCTTTTTAAGCTTTTATATCTGAATTTAAATTTCGTACTAACCCTGGGTTATCTTAACCTAGCTTTGAACAACTCGGCCCTGATCAGCAGCTTTCATTTGAATGGTCACACTTAAGGATTCTATCCAAAGACACAAAAGTTAGAACCATGGCATAAAAAACTCTACCCCAGGAAAGTACTGCTTATTTGGTCACATCTTTTGAATTTTTTTTTGCTATCTCAAAAGTTAGGACTTGTCTCATAAAATTAAGGCTAAACTTTGGTAGAGAAGGGGATGAACTCCTTGGAATTTAAAATACTTCAAAATTTCCAAAATTGTCCACTTCAAAAGCAAATAGCACGTATTGAAGTGGGTTTGCCCAAAACCCAGAATCCAGAATTTGGAAAAAGCGCATTCCGAGTGACTCTGAAGTCTAGCAATTAGGGTTAGGAAACTGAGTAAATCATGTTCCATTTAGTGTCATTATACTGGGCAAACTGACCTTAACTTCATTCACTCAGTTTCCTAACCCTAATCACTAAACTTCAGAGTTGTTCAGCATGGGTTTTTTCTGCATTCCGGATCCTGGGTTTTAGGTAAAGCCCTATTGAAGTTACCACTCAGTAGCTTTAATTTTAATGGCTATCCTTAAATACTCCATCTGCCCTTTTGAAGCACCAAAGAAAGTATACATGCTAGGCAGAAAACCAAAAGTTAGAATACGGAAGATATTTTTACATTGTGTAAACATTAGTATTGATGTAGTTGTCAATTTAGGTTCAGTGCAGCCTCTCAAAGCAATTTAACAATTTGCAAGATTTGAACAGTAGAACCCTGGTAACTCAAACTTGGGGATTGACATAGTGGCTAGCAATTTTGCTACCAGGTGAAACAAATTGATGATAAAATTAGTTTAAAAAATGGGAAGTTCAAATTTAATGAGTTTGAGTTATCAAGGTTTTACTTTATATTTTTCTGCATTAATTCTTGTCTTACTAAGGTTCGTTTATGATGAAATTATTGGCATAAAACAGTAGCAGTTTCATTGATATTTATTGCTGTGAATAGTAATATCTTGATGTTTTTAAGCAGGGGTTAACTCTCAAAAGAATTTTGAATATTCCACCAAAACTGCTCTAAATTTGCACCATAACCATTTACAACGCCTTGCAGCGTGTGAGAAAAAAAAAATCGCATAAAAAATCTGATTGTAGGCCTTTAAAACAGATGTCACTGTTTTTCTTGTTCAGTATAAAAGGTTGTTCTCTAATGATGGCTGAAAGAAATGGTCATTGATCACAGCGATAAATTATTATATGAAAATCAACTTCTGTGACACTATGTTGCAAGTTTTACCAGATGTACATCTTAGTTAATGCCGTAGACTATTTGCACTCTCATTTCTGATCTGCTTTGAACTGAAAAAGGATTTTAAGATCTTGTACATTTACGGTAATCATTATCCTGAATTTCTGACATCACCTTGAGTGACTGAGGGAGTAAGCAACTCTGAGCGGTGTCACAAATTCAGGCTATGTTATCATTAACTTTATTCTTGTGATCTTTATTCATAAATTATTATTCTTTTAAGGAGAAAATAGTTGTTTATAACAACTATGGCAAAGATTTTTAAACTGAGGTTTTGTTCAGACTTGTTTAAAAGGCTCTTTGCTAGTGCACTGCCAATTAAAATTATGAAGAAAAGTTCCATTTTTTGGTAAAATAATGAAACAATCAATCTCATGTGTAATTGCACCCAGAGGTTTCATTTGGAAGAACACAATGTCCATTTTTTTCCAAACTGGGAATTTTGAACCACTATGTAGGAAGCCGCTGCTCAGTAGCTTTCATTTGAATTTACACAAAAGGATTTCATCCACAGACTCACAAGGTAGAAGCACCCAAATTTTTCCATGATTATTGACTGTGAGGCAATGCATATGCTTGGCTATGATATAAGTTTATTTCATGGATACAGTCATTTTTCTAGAGCGACAAGTCTGGACATGGTTGGAATATATAGTAATGATATTATACATTGTATACATAAAAAAGGGGGGGTCTCTATAAAATGTTAGTGAGAAGTGTGGATTAAGGGATGACGTCGTCAATACTTATTTCTAAGCTTATTAATATGTGACACTCGTAAACCAGCCTGATCACAGGACACCCATGAATAGCAAATTCATGTTGGTGTCCTGTGATCAGGTAACCATAGTAATAAGTTATCACGGTTTGATTGGCAAGTGACAGTAACATCCAGTATTCATGTCAAACTGTAAAATACCCAAGTGTGCAAAATTAGATGTGATAATTTTTATTTTGTATAAAGCATTCTTCAGTTGTTTGTGATTTAAAGTGGTCTTGTTTTTTGTTATTCTCGGTTTTCACATGACGTCAATTCAAACTACCAAATTATTGTTTCTTTTGAGTTTCTACTTTCATGAGGTATTACAGCTCCTAAACACCTTTTTTAAAACAGATTTTCAGTTTGAAGGGGTTCTTCGCTCTTTCATAGAGGACGCTTGAATTTCCAGGCTATTGCATGACGTGGCATTTAGCTGGCGGCTGGGAAAGCTCCTTTGTTGGTTAAAAACGTTACCGAAAGTACCCTAAACTAAATAAATTTCTATTGCAGGCGCACTATTAGAGAGCAATGTACATTAGGGATTGTGCCTAGGGGCCAAACTTTACCAAAAAGAGCTCGACATCCAAGCTTAATAAGAATGGTTAATTGAGTATTTTCTGGTGTAGGTAACTAGCTGAGCTCATGGACTTCCCTTTCTGAGCAGAAACGATTCAAGACAAAACCAGTCTTTTGTTTCTTTTGGTAAACAGACTGGGGGTATACCCGGTGAAAAACCTCTCGCATTAGGGGAGATTTTGTCTACCGTTAGCATGAAAATCCAAAGAATCTAGGCTGAGAAGACAGATGACATTTCGCGAAGCCATCACTGATTCCCCCACCACCCTACCCCCTACTAATGACTTGGAAGTCCTAGAAACAAGGGCAGAAATCCCCTACTGTCCACGTGTCTGTACGCAGATCTGGGTAGTGGTTCTGATTGGTTGATGCAAATTTCTCACGCGTCACGACCAATCAGAAAAATTGCTCATGCGTTACGACCAATCAGAACTGGGTAGTGAAACGTCATTTGCTTAGGGACGACCATTTCACTTTGGAGCGGGGAGGGGGGGGGGGGAGGGGGGTTTTCAGAAAAAAATATCCCCCGGGGGAAAAAAATTCTTGCAGGGAAATATATACCTGGCGCTGAGTCAAATGGTCGGCCCTTTACCCCCCAGGCCAATGCGTTTTGGGCCACGTGGTCCGAGCAAAGAAGTTCGCCTCGGATACGTCACCGAGGTGAATTGACTACTGTCCACGTGTCTGTACGCAGATCTGGGTAGTGGTTCTGATTGGTTGATGCAAATTTCTCACGCGTCACGACCAATCAGAAAAATTGCTCATGCGTTACGACCAATCAGAACTGGGTAGGGAAACGTCATTTGCTTAGGGACGACCATTTCACTTTGGAGCGGGGAGGGGGTGGGGGGTATGGGTGATTTCAGAAAAAAATGTCCCTCAGGGGAAAAAAATTCTTGCAAGGAAATATATACCTGGCGCTGAGTCAAATGGTCGGCCCTTTAGCCCCCAGGCCAATGCGTTTTGGGTCACGTGGTCCGAGCCAAGAAGTTCGCCTCGGATACGTCACCGAGGTGAATTGACCGAGAACGCCTGGAAAAAGGCCGTACAGTGACCAGGCAAAAACGTTATCAGTATGGAATTTAGTACTCTTTTTAAAGACGTCACTTCGCATACACTTGTAATATTTATTTGCATTCGTTTCATCCTTTCTTTTTAGATCATTAAACGTCTGGGAAACTGCCCACCTACCCCTTCCCTAAGCCAACATTAACACTTACTTCTTACTTGGGGCAAAATGTTGGCTTAGGCGAGGGCTAGGTGGGCAGCTTCCCCAGAAACGTATTATTATCTTGTTTGGGTAAAAACGTACGTGGTTGCGAACCACCTAGTTTTGAAATGTTTGTGATCACACGCTAATAAAAAATAGATTACCTACATAGGCCGCCGCAACAAAATGTTTGCTGAAGACTTTCTTCAAATTCTTTCGGTAATAACATGAATAGAAAACCAATGACAATATACGATGCAGCGACTATCTTAAAACCACCGAACGCTGAACCTCGGAAGAGAAAATCTGTCAAAGCATTGATAGGAATCCCGAGAACGGTGCCGAGAGAGATAAACAAAGGGTACGTGAAAGCGATGCCGAAGTTAATCAAAAAATTAAAAATTATTCCTAGAAATGCTTTTCCAAAAAGATATTTCCATGGAATATTTCTCCAGGTGAGGTCTTCGTAGTGTGTGAGATGAAAGATGACGATAATTGGCCAGAGAAGTAATGTGCTTAGCAGGCCAAGACAGGACAGAAACAGGGAAACTTGACCCAATGTAGCATCTCCTACAATCCTTTTGAACCACACCTAAAGTAAAAAACATGTGCATGGGTATGTATAGTCTCCTTCTGTAGAGGGCCGTCACGCAATGCTTCTCCAGCGTTGCGTGACGACCCTAAAAACGATGCGAATACATCTCTCACACAAATTGTACATCCCTAGGGGGGGGCGGGGAAAGGGGGGGTGAGATGATGACAATAATAATAATAATAATAATAATAATAATAATAACAAATTTATATAGAGCCTTTTCTGCAGGCATCCAAAGGCGCTTTACAAACCACTAAAAAAATCTAAAATGTAAAAATTATCTAGGAATAGATAGAATGGGTTAGGGTAAGGGTTAGGGTTAGGATTCTCGCGTGCACACTTTTTCCGACAACCTTTCTGGAATAGCTGTAAATGGTACAAAATCTACGTTCACAGATTATTCAACCCGCGGCTAGCTCAAGCCGCGGCTGATCCTGGCAGAGGAGTTTTGTGCTGGCCTTATCTAAGCCGCTGCTTACCTTGGACGTGAACGTGTTTGTATAAATACACTCAATGTTGCGCCCGTTTTCAAGGGGCTTAAAGCAGTGACATCAGATAGCCCCTTTCACTCTAACCCTATTGTATTCCCGGGGCTACAACATGCCCTTTCTCACAGGGGCCACGCATGTTGGTTGCGTTTGAGACCCTAACGGTACTTCAGAAGTTACCTTGTACAAAGCAGCCCCTATAGCCGCAGCTACGGACAGTATTACACCGGCAGCGTTCGGTCCTTGAAAACCTTCTGCGTAAGCCATCATCACTATACCGCCGATACATAACAGGACTGCGGTTACCTGATGAGTTCAGAATGAATTTAAAGATAGTGAAGTTCGTCAATGAGGAAGGTAAATTTATTAGTGGATAGAGCTTTGGCAACCTTACCACAAGGACGACCACAACGCCAAAAAAACAACTGGTTTTATCAGCAAAACAACAGTTTTGCACGACGTGCATCGCGCAGTTTGGTACATATCTTTGACGTACATCCACCACACGACTACGTTGTGAAACCTCCTAATGTGACGTTTTATGGATTGAGGACGTGAACATACGACGACGAATTCTCTTTTTCCCTTTTTAACCTGGATACAGTCTAAAAAAATTAAAATCGACGAAAAACCGCCCACATTTGACTATTTGAGCGGATCTAAAAAGACGCGATAACGTTTAAGAGAATGTAAATTCATTTTTTAGCGAGTTTTTCACTGCTGTCGAATCAAACCTATCTTATAACAAATGAGGTTTTTGCAGGTTGCTAAAAGTTGTTGCAGAAAGTAGGGAGTAGTTCTACTTTTGCAACAAGGTCTGTACATGTTGCGAGTTTTACCAGCCCAATGCAAACTTGTTTTGCAACAAGTGACGTACCTCCAGTGTATAGCTTGACTCCCGCGTAATTTTATCCAATCAGAAGTCAGTATTCACACAAGTTGCAACAACCTGATTCAGTGTTGCGAAACAGGTTTGAACGTGGGTGAGTTTTGCAGCAAGGTTGCAAACCAAGTTGCACGTTTCTGATGCCCGTTTTACCGTGGCTTAATTTTGGGAGCACTTAACGTATCTTTCGTCTTACCTTAACAATGCCTAGCCTTTCCCTTAGCCAAATCAAGGAGAACACATAAACAAAAGCACTACAGGATGAAAACAGAGCCGTGACATCCGCTGCCCTGATCACGCCGAGAGCACGAACGTAAGAATAGTTCGTCAACATCCACAGCAAACAGAACGGACCCACGTATTTGATTAAGGACTTAAGATGCAGGCCTTGACTTCCAAACACCTTTTCACTTTCTCTAAAACAAGTTAACAATCACAACAAAACATGAACTCTTGTGTCAAAGTTTACCAATATGAATCTATCTCCGCAAAAAGAATTAAGCAATCAGTGATTTAGCAACAGCAAAATTGCCGGATTAAAAACGAACAAATTAAGCTGATGTTGTCCAATTTTATGTTATGTCGGCCAGCGTTATAGGGACTTTTAGCGTGAAGATAAGCGAAGAGGCATTAAAAAGTATTGCACGCGTTTTCAAATGTTAACTCATTTTTTTATTGTAATATTTTCAAACATGTACTTACAGACATTAAGCAGATTACATTAAGCGGTGCTTACAAGTTAAACTAAAAAGATTAAAGTGCAAACTGTTTTGCATTGCGCATTGCTTGATTCATTTGAGTAGGCACTGAGGGAAGGCTGTCAACTTGTACGGATTGTACACAGGGGACTGACAACACTGAGGAGAAACTAACACAGTCCTTCAAAATAAAGTTTTTTTAAAAGCTCCCACTTTTTGGTTGGGCTATCTTTAGGCTTTAAGTTTTCCTCCAATAGATAAATTGATTTGAAGCAATGTTGAAAGTCTTGTATCTTAGGAAAGGCTTTTTTATTCGTACTCATCCAGATATAATGTTTGGCTCGCAGTAGGCAGAAAATTATTTCATTCTGGTGGTGATTTTTAGAGAAATCTGGTGTCAACCTTTAGGCTGTTGAAACATTTCTAAATGAATCTTACGTTAGTAATGCAAGCTTTGAAAAATAGAACCTTCATCTCTTTTTATTAGGCCATTTCTAAGCTGCCCCAAGGCTCTGTTCAGAGCGAAGCTAAGTGCGAGGCCATTGACATGAAAATGGTTCTCTATTCTCGTGCAGATAAAACTCGTTTTCAGCAAGGGTTTTCAGTAAAGAAAGGTTTTGCACTTAGCCCCGTTTTGAAAGTGGGAAATTTTGAAACTCAGAAATGGCCTAGTGAGTTTACCTGTAAAATTGAAGCATCTTCTTTCCTTTCAGTAGTCCTGGCAAAAAATAGACCGGAAAAACTACTAGCATCCAGGAAGTTGAGAACCACGCGACAAAAAATGGAGCATTGAACTCCGGTGAGTACGTACTCTGAGCGAACTGCGTCGAACCTACCCAGGACAAAGCGACGCCGATCACTATGGCAACGCCAATCAGCATCTTTCTTATGTCAAGATGAAATCCTCGTGTTGGTTGATCTTAACGAAATTTAACAATAGTAGTCTGTGAATAGTTATTTTCTTATTATTGTGTTAATTAACTATCGGACATGCAAGGAGAAGTTTTTAGGACATGCTGTTTCTTGTAGCTGTTCGCATCCCTTAGATTTATTTTGATAATGTTTGGAGAGAATAAGCTGCTATGTAATGGGATATGATGTCATAAGTCTATTTTTTAATAAAACTGCCTATTTTCATATTTTAAGTAAAAACTGTAAATATTTTATTAGGATCTTTCAGTGTTTCATGCGGTTTACCAGACCTACTTTGCATTGTGAGCTAGTCTCTAATATAATACATTCTACGGCAATTCTAGCCCTTGAGGCATAGCAACTCTCTCCAGTCTGACAACTTGAGTGTCGTCCTACAATTTCGGACCATACGAAACAGCACTGTCGCAATAAACGATCAATGATTACTACTGAAGACCAAACTCCTGTGCTTGTTAATATAAAAAAAATTATATATTCAACTTCGTCCCCTAGTGTATGGTCGGAAGCATTTTCTAAGTTTCGTGCCCAACTGGCGTGACCATAGCGTGATTTCGTTGTGACTGAAATAAAGTCACCTCGACATGGCTGTTACCGGTAAGGCATTGCTTGAGCCTAATTTGCATAAAATCTTCAAATGATCATAGCTTTGCATACCTTATTTTTTCTATCACGTAAGAAACCGGGTATCTGAGTCACTTGAGACATCAAGCAGGTCTCATTAAACCAGAGGGCCTCCACACAATCTGTTTGTGTAGCCGATAGTTATTTTATAGCAAATGTACTGGATTCACCGTTTGCCTCACCTATACCGATATGTTGCTAACTATGTATATAAATCAATGATAAATAAACGTTGAATTACCTTACCTGTGGTATATAATCGTCCTTTTGCCTCAAAAGCGGTTTTTTGAGCGATTTTGAAGGAGTTTGAGTTCGCCGTTGACTGTTCCTTATAAGTAGAAGGAACAGTCAACGGCGAACGAGGCAAACGGTAAATCCAGTACATTTACTATAAAATAACAATCGGCTACACAAGCAGATTGTGTGGGCGCCCTGTGATTAAACGACTTTAATGTTATCTTTTACCTGAGAGTATCATATCTTCGCTGTAGGAATCAATTTTCTGTTCATCGCATGATGTGTATAATAACCTGGAGTTCTCTTTGGATTTCTCGTATTGGTTAGATTCCGCCTGCATGGTGCAAAATACCTGGTCCACTCGCACGATATACAACCGCTCCAAGCACGAATATTAGTGAAGAAGAAGCGAATTAGTGAAAACAAACCGATAATAACTTATATATACTTCCGTGACTCTCCCGTGACTACTTCCGTAAGATCGTCAGGACCTTGCGGTTAAAATAAACCGAGCATAGCCTGGGGATGAGCGTCAAATCTAACTGTACTCAGAGGGCGCGGGATGGTATGGGAGGAGTCGGAGGTGGAGGCTAAGGCGGACGGGACCTCCCTCCCCGCATTGCTGTAAACCCTGGGGCACGCTCCCCCGGTACATGAGAAACTATGGAAACAGGAGCCGACGGAAAACAGAGGACTGTGACAGAAGATCAGGGGCTAAAAGTCCATAAAAATACGCTAGGTTCACAATACGTGCATGCTTGTTGAATGGGAAATCAGTGAAACGCACGCTACTTAGGGGCTGTTTACACGGAAGGAGTAAGATCCTTGCACCAGGAAGATCCTCGAAGACGGAGTCATCCTAGAGCCATATGTTTTCTGTATTCAGTTTACATACAAAGGGTTGTACTTGTTCCTAGAGCTAGGAACTTCCTAGTTAACAGGTAGGAAGATCCTAGCACGATTTAAACTTCCTTCTCTAGGAAGATCCCAGTACTAGGGACAAACCAAACAAAAACAGCGGCGACTCGCTCAGTGACTAGTCACAGCAATAAAGGCCGACGATTTTTATTTCGTTTGGCGTTACCACAAGCTGACTATTGTGATAATTCTGCTGAAAGGTAGTTGTTAACGCCAGGAAAGAGAGCAGAAGGGCCCAAATTGTATGTTTGTTTTTGTCGCCCGCCATTTTTAAGTCCCTCTCGAACCTTCTATTTTTGGGCACCACACGTACCGAAATTCCTGCATCGGTAAACCCAACGTCATGTTGTTCCGCCTTCTAGAATCTTCCTGGTACCAGGACCTTAATCCCTCCATATAAACAGCTTTGGGTATTTGTTCAAAGGTCAATTTATCACTGGTGACAAGCTCGCATTGCTCGGTGGATATTTCGCCTTATGGAAAAGATGGGAATATTTCATAGGAGAGATGCGAGGGTGTTGGAGCAGGTGGACCGACAGATCAGCAATTTCGCTCTTTCAGCAATTTGAACGGCAGAGTGTCTTTTTGGACAAGAAAACATTTTAGGAGTACGGATGTGAAGTTTGGAGATGAGTGGTCTACGTTCCCGCAAAATTCTAATTCCATGATGTTAGTTTTAAAAGAAGTTAATTCTGAATGCGCAGCGAAATAAATCAAGTTCTACCAGGTCATATGAAAAAAGTAAAGTGGAACCCCGATAAAGCCCAAGGGAGTGCCAAAATTGGTTCGCTACAAAGACGTTTCGTTATATAGAGGTTCTTATTCATATATTAGGGAGCTTAAGCAACAGCGTTTTTGAGCGACGGACGTCAGCCGGAAGTGGACTTTTTGCATCATTGGGGAGCGGTTTGGTTGAAACTCTCGGGTAAATCGTCTTTAAAAGAGAAAAGAAACTCAGCAATACAAGTTTGTTAGCGTCAAGGCATATAAAAAGGGAGAAGACCTCACTTCCGGCTGACGTGCGTCGCTCAAAAACGTCTTTGCTTAAGGTCCCTATTGGCAAATGCCGCGCAGAGGGACGGGGCAAATCAGAACTCACGTAGCACGGCGCGTGTTGTGCGCCAAAAACGGAGAAACGTGATCGGAGATGACGATTTGTGTTATGGCTCAATGTACTCCTCTACAAAAAAACATTTTGGGTTAAATATTAAAAAAAAATAAAAATAAGGTAGATTGGAAAGATAGAACAGAGAAATGATAGAGAAAAAAAATTGAACTTTGCGGTTGGTTAAAGTCTTTCACGATGTCATTCTAGGGTCAAGTAAACGTCCTCGCACTAAGCATGACTACTAAACAATTCAGGCGCGAGACGGAAATAGAAAAACGAGTGTTTTCAACAAATATAAATTTTTCAACAAATATATATGACTGGATGGTTCTCCTCACATGATATTTGAAGTACGTTTACCAGAGACGAAAAAGGCTGATTTTCAGGCCCATTATTTTTCAGTTTTTCACACTGGAATAAAGTTTTTATTAAGTTCCAAAGGTGATTCTTGTCGATTTAAAGTGCGTCTCATTCTATTTTCCACTCTGATGTAGTTCTGTAGGGAGCAGCGCTATAAATAACCTCCAGCCGGCTCAGGTTTTTAAAATTTGATGAGTTTGTGTGGGACAATTCTATTAACGGAGACGTACTGCGTTGATTACCTTTTTCGCCCACGTTGACATTTATAGCGTTGACTATTTACCTTGGGAACAGCTCGAAGCACGTGTAAGTACAATTTAAGGGTTTTCGAACAAGAACTGCTAACAATTAGGCCAAGCAAACTAAAGGGCCGCAAAAAACGCCATTTCCTTGTTGTAGAGAGTGCAGACGTCTATTCTTACGTCAATAAAGCGAGTATTTACTGGAGGTAAAAATTAAAACAAAAAGACTGGAAAGAAAACCGCGTCACCAGTAATATGGCGACGCTTTTTTCTTAACAATGTTTCCTAAGCGAGAATTAACTGAGCTTTCCAAGAAAAGACAAGTGATATAGCTCTGTGCGACCGTCGACGAAAAGTGAACGGTGAGTATTTTTCCTCTTTAATGTTTGAAAAATAGGTTTTATAAAATTGGAATAGCGGACAGAAGGTAAAAAGTTTAATCGAGCGTCATTTCTGATTTTGTGCGAATTTCTTTTTCGTTCGGAAGGAGTCTTAACATCACGTTTCAGATTAAATTTCTCGCTGAAATTACGAAATGAACAGATAAAAAACTGACGAAATAAACTCTTATTTAAGTGATAGAAGTAAAACGAAACTACGGGCAATTATTTTTATAGTAAACGACAAGTACAGTGAAAAATTGATCACGCGGCACAAGTTGACTTTTTCCGTTTTAAAATAAACAACTGGCTATTATTTTTATAGTAAACGACAAGGACAGTGAAAAATTGTTCCTGCCGTATAAGTTGATTTTTTTCGTTTGCCGTTTAATGGTTCTTAAATTTCTTTTTTTTTTGGTAAATTGGTGTTTTAAGCTTTCTGTATTCAGTTAAAATTTTCTTGAATGTGGGTGCATTTTTGTTTTTTTTTTGAGGGGGGGGGGGGGGAAATAGAGCGATTTTCGTATGACCTTGAAATGATAACGCGCGAACAAAACAAAAAGGACAAACGATCGAAAATAGAGCGATTTGATTGGTTTATCGAATGGATACAAACGCGGGTGATTTTTGGTTGGTTTAACAAGCGCTCGGGTGAAAAAACTTCATGCCCGAGAACTTTCTGGAAATCAACCGATACCTCGCTTTGACGTCATACTGCAACACGATTGGCCAATCGAACAATGCCTTCTCCATATAAGGGTTTTGTTTGGCGGGAAAACGAAGAAGTCATGTGTTGATCTTTTCATCCATTGGCTGATAAAACCGCAACTAACGAACAGTTACCGACTCCATTTTTCAAGGTAATACGAAAATCGCTCTAAAAAAAAGCCCCGCGTTGCAATTCGACACAACCCGAGCCCAGTCTCGCACGCCACTTAACAAGGCTAATGAAGTTCAATACATTTGGAAGTAAGTATTTTCATGCATTTTGCCTTTAGCAGATTAAGAACATTTATGCAGACAAATTCCAAGGCATACTTATTAGTTTAACTTAAAAGCTAGGCTTTCTCGCGCCCGCTTTTCGTTTCTTTCTAAAAGCGCTCATTTTACCGAGTAACGCTTGTCAACCGAGCCCTTTTGCAGCTCGCAGTTTGAACATTCGCGCCGCGTAAAACAACGTTCTTCGCTTCCCCTAAGGGACTGAAAACTAAGCGAAATCGGCTAACGACTTTGAAAGTTGAGGCTTGTTCAGATAGTGGGACAGCTCAAAGAAAAGTGAGCAAAACACAACAGCAAGGGGATGGGGGGTAGGGAGAGAGGACGCCTAGAACAAGGGTACTTCTAGTTTTCCAATATCTGAGGAAGCGTTAGGGATCAAAACGTAAGCTCTCAAAGTTTCTGTGGTAGAAAAGTTAATTTTACTCGATTGTGGAAACTAAATTTTGTTTCCAAATAGAGATCTCATTGAAAGAACCAACAGGCCTTTGTTTTTAGCCTGAACTGCGTAGTTCTGTCATGCTTTTGAACTGTGAATTTACGACTAAAAATAGGTGAAATATTACAACTTAATTTGACGAACCGATGTGCAAATTGCTTGTAATGTCCCTAAATGAGGTGGGTAAAAGCTGCTAAAACTGGGGAAGAAATGCGTTAATAGGGCCAAGAAGGAGAGAAGAGAACGAAGCAATGTTTCTCAATTTGTTCCCCACAAAAAATGACAATTTTAGTTGCACTGCAGGAAAACACCTTGATTTGTTTTGTCCTTGGATCAGATGTTGAGTCTTACTAAACGAGCTGGTTGCTTAACATTTTGCAGATGTCTTAACGAAATTCATCAGGCTAGAAATTGTTAAAAAGTAATGTATAGATTCTTGGGACAAAAGGCAAATTATGTTCTTTACAGAAGTTGACAATTTCGATAGCTGTCAGCCATCCTTCTGAAAACGTATGATAGCGTATCATCGTCATTGGGTGTTACAGAGGCCTTTAGATTCAAGAACGATGACGACTTCGAAGAAGAGATTTGACCAGAAGTTTTTTTGCGTATTCTCAAAAAATAGACATTCCAGAAAGCCTCATTTTTCTTTTTAAACGAGAATAGTTAACACGGTTATATTTTAAAGGCGATTGAGCCCTCTCCCGATCGCAAAATACAACACTTTCAACATTTGTTGACTTGTTTCCGTCACTAAGACATTTTCGCTAAAACCTGTGGCTAGAATGACGACGGCTATCACGTTTTCCCGCCAAATGACGCCGGTTCACGCGCGCGCACAACTTGGTGTTGAGAATCTCTCGCTCACGTAGTCGTCATCGTCTTAGAATCTAAAGG